CCACTGCTGAGCCCTTCCATCGTCGTGCTTCTTGCAAAGCTCTGCATCTTCCATTTTATCTTGCAATACATGTTTTTCTTTTAGCAATATTCTGTTGCCATTTCTTTAGCGGTCTTCGAAGGACTCAATTATTGTGCTGTGCTTCTCTACTTGTTTCAACCAAAATTCTGATCTTAATCATCACCGTTCCGTTGTAATTATCGTCTATCATCATATTTAGCCACTACGTTCTCCCGGACCCGCTGATAAGCCTCTTCCATACTCCCTTCTCTAGCTAAAGGATGCCCCCTCCACTCGCCTTCCTATTTTTTCGTGGTCTTCTAACTATTTCTTTTTCTCTAGTTTCTATCTTCAGTCAAATTCTATTGACTGTTCACTATCTTTACTTATTGATCAGACCATCCTTGACACTTATTCGCCAATATAGTCTCGTGATATTGATCTAAATTCACCTAAATCTATAATTTGAATTATTTTGTGTGCATTTTATTATTTAAATGTATAGACACGAGGAGACCTTTGCACAAATCGCGCATTTTAACAGGGTTCAAAACATAATTCTTCCAATATAATAATAATAATGCAATACCCTTTTACTTTCCCAAGGATCTAGATCTACACCATAAAGACTGAAGATTAATTTACTAATGTTTTAGTTAAAATTTGTAGAATTATATTCTGATAGCAAAGGCCTTTAATTCGACGTACATAACCTATGCTCCTATTTAATATTTCCCTCTGACTCCTCGTGGGACGTCCCCATGATATGACAGAGAACTGATAGTTCTTTCAAATGTAGATTTTTAGGTGTCATGTTGATGTACCAAACCTTATTGATTTATCTGTTATCGTTCAGAACATATTAAACCCGTGCGAGACTTTATACTTACAGACAATGGCCTGTTGGATCGTTCAATGCTCAAAACAGAAGTCGCTAATTTTTTTTAGCTTAACTACGTGTAAAGTATGTTACTCGCGAAGGAAACACATAATTTTCATATTGGAAGTGTGGTAAACCAAAGAAACCCTCTGGGTTTGTAAAGTGGATACGATTTCTGTGACGATCGTGTAAATGGATTACTTCTCGGCGACAGATCAACTCTCGATCTGTCTCGACACTCCAGTCCATGTATTCTGTCTATCAAATTGAGTGTTAAGATTTGTATTCTTATTTAACTGTTTGTGTTCCTGTATCAATTGCGTTGCATTTATTTATGGAACGCGCTATTTAAGTTCGTGGCTGAAACTAGTGAAACTTTGTGATTTGAAGAAAGAGAAGTATAAACCATAGGTATCTGTCAATCTTTACTATGGCATCATAAGTATCGAATCAGCTTATTGAGCTATCGAGATGGTGACTAATTTATTGCATAAGTAAATGTGTCAATCTTTACAATCGCATAAAATTTATCGAATCAGCCTATCGAGCTATCGAGATGGCGACTAATTTATTGCAGAAGTAAATGTGACAATCTTTACCATCGCATCATATTTATCGAATCAGCCTATCGAGCTATCGAGATTGCGACTAATGTATTGCATAAGTAAGGAGCTGACATCTCCGTGTGACGTACGATTTGTCACCGACGATTGATGGATTCCAAGACTCTTTCTTTAGGTACAGTTCCGTGTTGGGAGCGGGTGGGGGATCACTGTCACTTACATTCTAGACTTTGTTGAGGAAAAAATTTTTCTGGCAAATCAGTTGGTGAGGAGATGAGATGGTTGAAAAAATTGTTAAGTTTAAATTCGACTCCAAAAACATAATTAATAATTAGTATGGTGATTATCCTGATTTCTATTGCTTGTAGACTAAAATACTAAAATATAAACAGAGACAGCATTTTTTGGATGCTGTATTCCTGTGTAAAAACGTTATGTTTACAACCCTAAGTAGGATTTATAGTTATTAATTGTACTTGTAGATGTTTTAATACATTGTGCCACAGAATGAATCATCTCAGCCTTCGGACATAAACATATTGTATCATCGTCTTTAAAAGGATGATAAATTGGTATAGCTTAATAGTAAATTCCTAATTCCTGTAACTGCAAGTTAAATGTGTGGTTAGAAAAGTTATTTTCATTTTCATAATTTCCACAAAAAATCACATTTTTGATTAAAAATGCATTTACCAAATAAAAAAATAAACTATCAACCTGGCCCTACTTGCAAGGAGTTCCGGACAGCTAACGGATTTTTAGTGATCTTCATCATCTTCATTAGTGATTATACGGTTTGAATGAAATACTGATGTTTATTGTTTTTCAAACCAATGCTACATATTTCAACAATCTTTCCAGCATATTGTTGTTAAGATTGACCGACTACATGTTCTCCGAACGAAAATCTAACAAATAAGGGCGGGAATTAATTGCGCCAACTGATCTGAGTCAGGTAGTCGGGTAATCCTGAATTGCGCCAACTACTCCAGGGAGCCACCCGATACGTTCATTAACTGTGCCTAGTGGACGGCTATCTTTTTGACTGTATAATTGAGTAGGTTAGGTTAGGTTAGGATGACACGTAAACAAGGACATTCCTTGTGCGGGCAACTCACCCCTACCTAGCTTGGGCTTGGTGCAATTAAGGAACAATTTTTTGGTTCTTTGAGGGGTTGGAATTAAGGAACTGTGGTGCAATTAATGCAAACAAAATAATATGCAATAATCGTACGTCGATAACTGATAGATAATGTTCAGATGAGGTTTGTGGGGCACTCGTAGGGATTCCTTGGATCCGGTTAGACAGAATCCTCGTAGTCGACCTTGAATGTGACGTCATCTTGCTGATGCCACCAGACGTAGTTGCAGTTCTGCTCACTCAACCGTGCAGCTGAAACGTACAGTGACGCCATAACTGTGAATTTAATAAATACAGTAAATATTCCCTGTTAAATAGTCAAGAGAAAAATTGTTCCTGGCGGAATAATCAGCTGGAAGGGCCTTGAACTTTGACCGCGGGGTGTCTCTCAGAACCTGTATATTCTCTGGTCAGTTATCCATAGATTAACTTATTCTCAACCCGTCGTCTGTTCGTATTTTGATTATTTGTATTATTAGATACAAAATATGTGTAGGTAAAAGAAGTTTTTAGGCCAGACATAAATAAAGGGTCAGAACTCAGAATAACAAAACGAGCAGCTATAATTTACTTTATCTTCTTGCCATTGAACGAAACACATATGTTATTGACTTACATCTTCTATAATATCTCATATGTAGGCTAAACAATTATTACACGTGGATATATAATGTTTTTATGTCTCCCTAAAGTGTTTTTGGTGGTTAGGTTCACATTTAAAGGCCTCCACACAATTATGTGCTCTCAGATGTAGTTATCATTTACAACATCAGTCGTAACCCAACAGTAAGCTTCTTGTTTTGTATCCTGACATATTTAATAATATATCAGAGTTATTTACTTTCTAAGGTACCTATTACTCGGTTCCGGCATGCTAAACATGTGTTTTAAAATCCCAAACAAGCTCCAAGTTGACGTAAAAAACGTACCTCACAAAATAACTCTCAATTATTCCACAACGTCCTTTCTGAAACAAGTTTTCCAATGATAACAGGTGACGCTTTGTTAGTCTGGATGGTTGTGCAGATACTATTGTATAGACTTTTCTATTTCTTGAGCACAATGGCTTCCCAGAACCTTGCTGAGTCCTAATTGTAGACAACCCTTCATTGTGTCCTCAGTCAAGGTCAAATCAATTAACCTCCATTAAAGGTAAACTTGCTCACCGCGGTGTGTCATTAACGCCTTAATTGTCTGCCATTAAAATAGACATTCTAGCTCTATAAATGTTATGAGTTTCCACATTCCTCGGGGAAGTACAATTAGGCTCTTGCAGATTAGATAACTGCAAATGCTGTTATTGATGTAGTTACGGTTTATTGGTTCAATTTGCAAACAGATTTAATGTTGGATATTGTTCAAACAATTTTCTGTCATATATGTTTAACCCAGTTACCAGTAGGGTTTGTTTATTACAATATAGTTAGCTCTTGTCCAGTTGTAGGATTACCTTAAATTTCTTTGCATTTTGAAAAATCAAATATATTAGACCTAGTGTACCAATGAAATCTGCTGAAGGTTATGAAGGCTGATATAAGTCTTTGTTCAGTATTAATGCCTTACTTTCATCTTGGTTTTTATCTGTCTTCGCCCATCTTCACATTGAACAAGGCATCCATGATGTGTCGGCATTGCACATTTCTGCAATTCCCGATTCAGTAATCTACTAAAAGGATCTAGGGAACAATCTTGGTCCTAATTCTGAGTCAAAGTCCTTATTTACTTTGTTGTTACACTCATCCTTCTCCACCTTCCCATTGATCTGCTCGCCATCGTATGTCAACAATTTAGTAATCTGCTAGAGAATCTGAGTTTATCGGCTTTGCTCACCCATTGCTCTACAATCCAATGGCCAGTATTATAAACATCCCCCATGCTAGAGTAAGCAGTGTCGTCGTCGTGTGTTGTGGTGATCGTGGGAGCCGAGCCACCGCGGTGACCTTGGTGTGTCGCCGCCGGCTCTGCCCAATACTGGCCTTGGATCATCCGACGTTGCCAGATCATCCATCCGGAGTCCCGCGTCCTGCGCAGGAAAAGGATACATCAAAGTAGTGATATATCGAGACTCTTCAACGTCGCATCGTGTAGTTGCTTACTCAAGTTGATAATGATGGCTATGATTGGTAACTTGAAATCTGGAGTCATATGGTAGGATTAAATTTGTAAAAGCCCCTTCAATTTTACGGGGTTTCACTCACTAGTCTGAAACTTTTGTTTCCGCTTCTTGATGCTCGTATACCAAACAAGCGTCGTAACTCTAACAATATCATCACATCTTTCAGCTATTTTTTCACTGCACATTTTATTCCTTGACTCCCTAAATGGTTATTGTTTGTCGCAAATCTCGACAGTGTAGTGGAAGCAATAGTAATGGTCATAATATTCACTCTCACTAAGCTACCCTCGTCTGTTACAGGCCGCGACGCCGCAGCGGCAGCAGCATCGTCGTAGTAGGCCAGGAGGACGCCGAGCCCGTGAAGCGACCACCAGATGCTGAGACGGACGATGCGTACAAGATGATGATGATGATGGCTGCGTGCGATAATGGACCTCACCGAGAGATGGCCGTGGACGTCCCGGAGTCTTGGGCGCCCAAGAACAAGACGCCGCCTCGCTACCCGCCACCCCGGCCACAGGCTAGGATACAGGTGAGAGGCAACCACTGACAGTTGCAATTAGCCATAGAAAGGTGATGGAAACCAACCTAACCAAACCTAACGTAAGCTTTCTTGGGTAGTGAACATTTTACCAATGGTGGCCCCATTCTTGAAAAGTCCCGAAAGCAATATTTTAAATAGATTTTTTTTAGTTTTTTTCAAGATTGAATAAATATAGAAAATCTCTGTTCCTTTGACCGGCGTGTGATTTCAATTTGACACATATTTTTGACTACTCTTGCCATTTGTCTTCTAACACATTTTGACAACAACCTGCAGGAGAAGGCCATAGGGCTTGCATGAAAAAGCACCGACATCCCCATTGTGTAATTTAGTGTTATGTCCCTACCTAGTTGAAAAGGGTGCCCGTTAATGCTCTCGGTTTAAAACCCTTATTGATGCTGTCGGTTTCGTCTCCAGCTCTGTATCATGCCTCTGGCTCTTAAGACAAATCAGATGATAAAACGTGAATTACAGAAATTCTAGAATACAGTGCCAGTAATGTTTCAACGTAAGTAATAGAAATACTGTGTGCTGATCAGATTTTACGTAATACTTTATACAGTATACTCGTCAACAAAGGGGAGCAGCATGATCTAGGAGGGGACACTTCCAGTTTTGATCGGTATCAGTATTATCCGTAGGTTCCGATCCTTACGATTGGTCTGGTTGTTTGAGCCATTAAAAGCAGGGTTTTTGCCCTGGAGGCCTCAGTTAAAATTTTGCCAATGACCATTGGCCACTTGTCAGCCCGACCATAAAAAAGATAGACACAGGCTACATTTAATTGAGGGAAACACGCTCTTCGTATCGGATTAATCCACAAAATGTAATTTGATTTTTGTTCGGGTATTAAAATACAGATTGTTTTTATTTGTGGCCTTTCACATCGCCAATCTGTCGATCTTTCTTTTAAATGTTTGAAATTTGCTATGTTTATTTATTCACTCTGTGCAGACCTGTTTTGTCGTACTCATACAAAATACCCCGTGTATGTCAAACAACACAACACCTTAACACCTTAACATAATATTTTATAGATTAAGATCCTTTTGATGTTATTGCCAAAACAACTCAGTCGATGCGCTGAAGAATAATCAATCTATAACCTGATCTGAGGAGGATGTTTCCCTGAACTTTTAATCAAAATATACGATGTCGTAAAAGTTGTTAGTGGTGTTTGAAAGTGATTAAGATCCCCCCTTTCGTAATTGAGTGGCAATTATTTCCTGTATCCTTTGAAATTTAAGAGTTTAACGTTTAAGAAGTAAGTTTAAGTATTTTAGGATTAATACAATTTTAATCACAGTATACGGTTTGCACGTAATATGAAAAGTGATTGCACTTCATTTATTACATAATTGATAGATGAGAATATCATTTTGGCCGAAACTTGAATCTAAACGGGCACATAGGGGAGTTTTATATACATTTATATATCTTATAAGTTTTAATAGTTATTTGTAGAGTAATACGTATGGCGCGATTACTCACGAAGCTATTTGTATCCCTTTTAGTTGAATCAACGCGAACTTTCATTGGCTTCGTTGTGGAATGCGACAACCACCATATCAACTTCCTATTGATTAAACTACAACAGTAGCACAAAGTTTTGTTCACACAAATATGCATGGCATTTTAGTTAGGAACCGTGAGTTTTCATTTTAGGAAGCAGTTGAAAACAATTATTGGATGTATGTGGAGGGAATCTCTATAGATGAAGAGTTATCTCAGTCGAAGACACCTATAATTATTTCTGTTTACTTGGTAGGCGGAGCTACAGATTATGTAGATCCCCGACTCACGGTATCGGCATGTTGCCTTTTGCCAACGTGAATTTAAAGGAGATTTGGGTGATTTTAATCCTCAGGACGAATTTCTTACACTCAAACCGTAAGCTCAGACAGAAGGATTTTTTGAGACGGGTTCACTGTTTAAGAATTAATCTCGATTGCCCACAAGAAATTATTCACGTACACTTAATGTTCAAGAAATTCGGTACATGAATACTTCCTCCTATTTGATACAGGAAAATTTCCAAAGTAACTAAAGGAAATACCAAATCTTGCAGCTTGTAAAGGAAAGTCATATTTTTGGAGGCCGAAAACGTCAACCCCGTCTCTACCGTGTCCGCGAACTAAACGATCGGCGAGGTTTAGACATTCCTATAGAAGGGTCTTCCCCGAAGAAGGTAGACGACCTTTGGTTGGTTTCACTACCTGTCTTCTCTGTTGCTGTCTTCGGTGCACCGAAACTCCCCCGCATACTATCTCGACCAAAAGGGTTCGCTAATCCCCTAACCGAAACTCCCCCGCGAGGATGGCAGGTACCTGAGCCCACCAGGTTTGTCATACTGCGTAATGACTCAGGAAACCACGACTCAAGAAAAACATAATATAATTTTTTTAAACAAGTTACAATGTTTTTAGAAGTTAAATAGCTTGTTGTAATGGGTATTACAGTCCAAGAACCTTGTATTAATGAAGAGGGTGTCTTGCTTAAAATCCATTAGTTCTGAATTTTTGTAGACTTGTTCGGGATATCGGCCCAATTGATAATCCAGGTTTGTGACCGCGTGCGACCACCGCAACCTTATCGTAAGTCAAAACAATCGCAAAATTGACGACTTGCTGTAATTCTTTGATGATTTATTTTGAAGACGTTGTTTTTATTCTATGTAAAATTTTTCTTGTAAAAAAATGTTTGTTTATGTTGTTATCTCAGATTCTCAACTAGACACGACACAAAGGTTGTTTTGGTCTTAATTATTCACAAACCCGTTTACACTTGGTGCATTATACAGTATCTCGACCCGTTGCCTATTCCAATGCCGTGGAGTCAGAAAAATCGGGAGCGTTTCATAAACTCCAAATTTCACAAACTCCAACGCTTAAAATATTAAATGAACAGAGCGGTTCATAACCTCCAAATTTCATAAGCTCCAAATCTATAACATTCAAATAATCACTGGTTCACAATGTCCAAGTTTCACAAACTCCAACGTTTAAATATTAAATAAACAGAGCGGTTCATAACCTCCAAATTTCATAAGCTCCAAATCTATAACATTCAAATAATCACTGTTTCACTATGTCCAAATTTCACAAACTCCAACGTGAAGATACCAAATAAACAGTGCGGTTCATAATGTCCAAATTTCATAACCTCCAACGGTACAGTCTGAGCCAGAAGTCTCTGCAGTGGTTGCCACAGCTTATTAAACGGCCCCAAAACTCAATGTTCCGCTTCAAAATAACTCGACATTTAGCCTACTTAGACTTAAGTTATATGGTTGAAACTTCGTATGAGTGAAGTCAATAAGTCTATGACACTATTGGTTTTAATTAAAAGCTTAAAAGTTAGTATTTTCTATTTTAAATCTTCAAATAAAGTCGGTACTTTTAAATGAGTTTTAAAATATGACATGAAAAAGTTCGTCGGCTGCTACTTTTTTTATTTTTTGGTCAGGTAAGTTAAAAAACGGTGGATTTTGTAGCTAAAGAGTTGAACCTTTTGGATCATATTTTTTTAAATTTTTAGCTGGCGTAGTTTGGTTGTAATTTAAATTGTAATATAGGGGCTACCCGCCGCGCCGCGTGGCGTCATGCGGGCAGATTCTGCCTACAACGTCACTTGTAATACAGTTTAGATACTCAAATTTGGAGCTATACAGGAAAGTTACTAAACTAATTAGAAAAACACGGATTACGAGTCACACTCAGCTGTGTGACTCAAATATGTGTTAGCACATAATTTGCAAATCAAATTACATATTTATATTTTTAATAGCTTTAATTCAATCTTTCAGCTGAGTTTCTTAACTGTTCCGTCTCTCAATTAAAAGCCATTACAAATATCGTAAGAGATTTTTTTTACCGATGAAAAATTTTAAAACATATAAATTTGTTTTATAAGTATATTTTCTATTAGCTGTTAAAATTTCATGATGATTACATCAGTAGTTTTTTTTGTTATGTGTAAAAATAGCCCTTTGTTAGAAAAGTGCCGAAAACCTTGTACTTTATTTATTCTACCCACCAAAAGGACGAGAGTTAAAACAACATAAAAAGGTAGAAACTAACATACATAAACGCAGAAATACATTTTTATAAATAGGATTTAACTTATTCATCATATTGTAGGTATACTGGTCAAGTTTCAATAAAAGTTCATACTCGAGTATTTACACTTTTTTACTCGACAGCAGTCTCGTTTTCTCCTTGCAACTTAATGTGGGTAGTTCAATAATGTTAAAGTTTTGACAAGGTGATAATTTATATTTGGATTTGCCTTTTCAGTGGAGAGTTAAGCATTGTAAACCTTTTATTTACCAAAAAAATGCGTAATCACAAACAGCTAAATAATTCATGATAAAATTTTTGTTGATTGTGTGAGTCTAACAGTAGAGGACGAAGATTATCTCAACTTGAACATAGTGCGTAGTATCTATGAGCAGAGGACTTGAAAAATTATATTTAAGTTTTGATATAATATCATACGATAATCAGGAAAAGAACCTGTATCCAAGAGAATAGTAAAAAGCTCACGCGCGCGCACTGTTTTAAGTATGTTGTGTACATTTGCGACTTTTCGGGTGCTTCATATTTGGCGCCAGAATGTGCCTTGTTGACCTTCATTATTTTTTTCTCACGCCCGTCCATAACGGATTTATAGTACATCCGCTTGACTAGTTACTGATATTTTAATTCACTCCACAAAATTCTGCCTTAGTACAGTATTTTGTTAACTCGAGACTTCTTTGATTCCTAACAGGACCAAACAGGTGAACAGGACAGTTAGGTGATAGGTCATACTGTCAATATACCTGATTATATAAAAGTAATATCGATAAATAAAATAAACTACAAATGTCATGTTTTATTTCCTGAACCACGAATAGGCAATAACAATACATTAAGAATAAGATAACAGCTGGTTGAAGTGTATGTAATGTATGTAACGCAACTGCAGGTTTGCTGCGGCGGGGGTATTTTCATTTTAAAACATATGTTTACGAAGTCTACAAAATTATTTTACTTTGTTTACATGTCTTCATATTTCAAGCGTATTATTGTGTTGAAGGAATGTTTAACAATCAATAGCCACTTTCACTAATTAATTATGGATTCAATATTAAATGGAAAACTCCTGCTTTGTTTTTATTTCAAAAACATTATAATGAGATGATATATTCTAAACGTTTCTGTTACACAAAATACAGTTAAAATACAAAATACAGTTGAAGCATAGACATGAACATTTGACGCTTACTTTAGTGTTTAATCAATATTTTGTTTAAAGTGGAATGACCTCAACGGCTACTCTGGAACTAACCTGAGAATTAAACTAAAAAAGTTCGTAGAGACAATATATTTTTTCACTAAAGCAATTACTATGACAAGTTCCAGTGAGCGGGATTTATTAATTTTGTTTGGAGAAGGTTTTAACTAGGTACATTCTGTTTCTCAAAGGAAAAGGGGTTAAGATCATATAGACTAGCATGCATAGTATGAATAAAGTACAGGGCAAAACCTATAACAATAATATTTTGAGGTAGTTTCCTTTTCTTTATATGCATGTCAATGCTGGAGAAACGTAATTTCGTGATTGGTTTCGACAAATGGGTAATCAAACCCTAACCATGCACTGCAGTGGCAAAAATGTTAGACGTGAGCCGTTGATTAGCTTTTTCAAATATAGATGAATATAAACTCGTTAAATGTTTTAAAATAAAATTATAATATATCAATTGAATATAACATGTAATACTATCTAACAACTAAATGGCTAAAGAGGATGAAGAAACAAATAAATAGGTATTGTAATGTGGTCTCAACCATGGTCTCAACTATGAACCCGCTGAACGTTTTAAATAGGCCTATTTGGATAGAATGTAAAGTCAATCGCACTTTTAGCAGGAATTCCACCACATAAACTTAGAATAAGAGTAGTTTCTATTTTTGTTTCTATTATTTGGACCAGAACCAAATCTAGGGTAAAGTTTAGTCAAAGGGATGCATTTACACTAATTTAGTTTACCTTAACGAAAGGAGAATAAAAGTAGAAATAATAACTGGGCCAGGTCGCTAATTCAGTGGGTTTTACCAAGAACTTAAATTATCTCCACATTTCACGAAGACAATTTCCGAAATTACAATCGGGAAAGCATTTATATCAAAAAATTTTGTTAACTATAGACTACCGGTAAGCATTAAAATGCACAAACATACGCCTGTAAATTAAGTTACCATTCTTCGTAATGTAATGACATATTTGATGTAATATAATGATGATTAAATGCTAGAAACTCAGTTTCTATATCCCGCAAACTGATGCTGAGCCGGCCAAACTCCTAGCGCCAATGCCGCGCCAAGCGATTTTAGGCCTATTTTTAATCGCTTAAAAATGATACAAGCAGGCTCCGTATCAAAAAAAGCTTCAAATAAAAAATAAAATTCATACTTTGATCTAAAACTTTGCCGCAGGATTTTTTTTCCTGACCAAAAAATAAAAAAGTTCCTCGCTTACTACATTTTTCATGTTTTTTATGGTGTTAAAAAACAATCATCTGTTTTAATTTGCCTAAATAAATTATAACAATTATGTTAAGGTAAAAACTAGCTACATAGTAATGAGCACTGGTTTTTCCAGAAAAATAATATATCAATTTGAAATTTTTATGTTAACAAATAAGTGCAGCAGAGCAGGTTGAGTGAATGTATGTTTGTGTAAAACAGAGAGGTTCATTCGGCCCGTCCGCCTCGGTATCCCGATTGACTTATGGCAGAGACTGTACCATTGGAGCTTATGAAACTTGGAGGTTATGAACCGCTCTGTTTATTTGATATTTAAAAGTTGGAGTTTGTGAAATTTGGACATTGTGAATCGGTGATTATTTGAAAATTATAGTTTTGGAGTTTATGAAATTTGGAGGTTATGAAACGCACTGTTTATTTAATATATTATCGTTGGAGTTTGTGAAATTTGGACATTGTGAAACTGTGCTTATTTGGAAGTTATAGTTTTGGAGTTTATGAAGTTTGGAGGTTATGAAACGCACTGTTTATTTAATATTTTAGACGTTGGAGTTTGTGAAATTTGGAGTTTATGAACCTCACCCGAAAAATCAATTATTGGGGACAGGAAAAAGTGAAATGGAAAACAATTTGAACAAACATCAAATAACAATAATAAAGATTTAATAGTATATTTCGTACTTAGGCCCGAAAATGAGGTTTTGCCGGCTCGAGATAGTTTTAAGTTTGAAACGAAGTCGAGAACTTAAAACGATCGAGAGCTGCAAAACCATTTCGGTCCGTGGTACGAACGCTATTTTTCACCACACTATACCCTATTACCACTAGGCCCTATTCACAACAATAATAATGCACACTGATAGTCACCACAACTTTAAGGTTATGTGAAGAAATAATTCGAAGAATCAGCGAAAATAATAATAAATAGTTGCTAGGTAGCGGTGACAATAAAACAATTTTATCGAAATGCTATGGGTACTGATTGTGTATTTAATATGCTTTCATGTTTTAAGAAAGTAAGCGGGCAGCTGATTTTGCGGCCCTAGGGACGTAAAAACCTGCTCGGTCCCCAAATGACAATGACAGCTGGCATGGCCAGCAAAACGTAACTTTCAGCCACCAATTAACATATTTAAAACAGCTAAAAACATCATAGTGTGGTGATAAAGACCATCACACCTTTTTTAACATGTTAGGCTAGTACAACCTGTGGATCAGCTGTATTATTCTTATACGAATTTCACCATACACTCAAAATTGTTTATTGGTTTTCAGCAAAACCTGATTCTAATCACTATACAAAACTAGAATAAATAAATGTAAAGTCTTGAAAATTAAATTAAACTATTAAATAAAATCCTCTATTGAGTATAACAATCCTGCTGGCTTCCAACTTTAAGGTTATGTTCTTTTTAGGTAATTTTAGTTTGTGTTCCTTAAAGGACCACACGATGAAAAAAAAATAAATAAAGTGGTCCTGGTCTTATGTCTTATACCATGGTAATAACGTCTTCCCTAATAACAGGGGAAGCCGATTATAAAATGAGTAAATATCTTATCGCAAGCGGACGCATATTTTCTAGTTTCTATACTTGTTCCATCGCTAAAATAAAAAGTCTTTACAAAAACCATTACAAATATTTTATGAAAAATTATAAAACTTATGAATATGCTTAAAGGTAGTTTCATGACTATTGCATCAGTAGTAAGTTTGCTATGAAATGTTAAATTCTCCCGTTGTTAGAAAAACTCCGAAAACCCTGTAAATTTTCATTCAACCCGCTGAAAGGTTAAGTAGAAGCTGCATAAACCATTTTAAATCTATACACATAAACGGAGAAATGAATTTGTAAAAATATGATGTAGGCCTACAGTAACTTTTATTTTTCTAAGTCTACTGGTTACTTTGCAATAAAAGCTCAAACTCGAGTACTGTATATATACTTTTTGACTAGACAGTAGGCACTCTCTCTCCTGAGAGATGTATGAAGGGTTTTGGGAGAATCTCCGCATTCTGCGATGACAACGAAAACTCTCTCCCTTTAATTACCTCCCCTTGGATTCCAGGAAGGACAGCGGGGGAATATCGGTGCGCCACTGGGGTGGGATTACGGGTCGCGGGGGAGTTTCGGTGTCTACCTGGATTTTGCGGGGGAGTTTCGGTGCGCCCGCTGTCTTTTGTCTCACCTTTTCTCTGACTTTCTACGTGCCGTGACTCGTGAGGGTGCAGTTTTGGTGTCTCTAGTAGGCAACGAAATACTACTACAGTACTACATATTGCGATCCATTACCATCTGTTGACAATTAGAATCATGGAGATTCATGACTTATTTGACAAAGTAATCTCACACATACAATTCATTCCGAGTTACGATACGTGTTTAACACCTGCTCCATTTTTGCACTATACATGCAGTTGGCCAGGTCCCATTCATCTTTTGTGTAATTTTTAAATAGCCCTAACTAAATAAGAAGGTTGGATTTGAATGGCTAAATGTATAACTTAAAATAATTACACGCTTTTGTAGAGTTAATAACTTGTACGGTGCGTTAAATTAATATCTAGAGTATCTTCAAAACCATGCAAGTACCATTTTGGTGAAGGCGATAATCAACTAAACTTCAGTTTAACCATGTCAATACAAACTGAGAAGGGTTATGTTTACTAGTTACTGCTGTGGCTCTTGATGCGTGCTAGTACCCAAAGTGGTACTTTTCCTCACCACCAACCACACTGTCTCCTCTTCCCTTCTTTCCACCCCTCTCAGGTTTCCTGTGAACTGACTTCGCCATAGCTGCTGACCTTCATGCTAGTCTTCAATTTTATCAGTATAATTTCTTTTCTTTTCTCTAAAGGCGAGTTTACCAAATGTATTTCCTCTTGCAGCCGGCCGTGAACGGGACGGCTCGCACGGACCCGGACGTCGGGGGTGGCAAGCCTGTGCCGCCTCCCAGAGACCACCTCAGGATAGAGAAGGATGGGCGGCTAGTGTCCAGAGCGCCGCCACCTCAACTACCCGCCCGTCTGACTGACAATATCAACAACAATACACCAACGACGCCGCCAACGCCGGCACCTGCGCCTACCTCAGCTGAACTGAACAGCATCAGGAAGTTCCAGGTAGGCCACACACTTATTGATGCCCATCTTGCATGGTATGATAAGGCCGAATCCATAGTGGTTTTCGGTATCAACTGAGTCCGTCAGTTTAAGATTGCTGCCAAACGTTTATACATCGTTATCAAGAGGTGTAGTCAGTAGTTAGTCTGAGACTTACATCTTCATAGTTAGACATCATAATTAGTCTCAGCCTTGTCACTGAGGATGCCTCATTTGTTTTTTTATAAACGTTCGATAATAGTTCATAGGTAACAATTCTGATAAGCTTCCAGTTTTTTTTTGTCCAAAACTAAATATCCACTGCAAAAATCGTCAAAACATCTTAAAATAAAACTTAATAGGTTTAGTATGTAAACAAATTCAAAATCGCTCTACGTGAACAATGCACTTTATACATACATCTTATGATAAACATTGACTACAACAAAGTCACTCCTTAACTATTTACAACGGACAAACTATTCTGGTACGTGGTGTGTGATGGTTGGACAGTGACGTGTTACATGAATGGACATGTTTGGTCAATGAGGAGATGGGTGTACACCGGACACAGCAAGGTCACTCACTATTGCAACTTGGGTAAAAACACAGCTCTTCTACACTGGGATTGTTGTTACTTTGGGTTATATACACTTATACAGGTTGGTCAGGGTAGCATTTCGTGACAGAATTTGAACAGGTTCTTAGTGTAGTTAGATATTGTGGGAAGACGAAACAATTTAAGGTTCTTTGTTATCTGTTCCTAAGATTTTTGCTTTTTCAAAACTAAAACTTGTTTTGTTTAAAACCAACTTTCTGGTAAAACCTAATATTACCAAGTTTTCAAAAAAAATTAATTAAGACATAAATAATCTGTTTTGGCTAACAACATTACAAAGCATTGTATTGCTGGACAGATGATAAATATACAGGGTGTTGAAAATGTCTGGAACCAACATTATATCTCGTGAGTGGTTAAAGAAAAACAATTGATATTTTGTGTACGGATATACTATGGTTTTACCTATCTTTTGGTGCCTTATGACAATTTTTACCACTTATAGGGAACGTCCTGTGGAGGATGCGGTAAAAAGTTTTAATGGAAGCCTATGGTAAATGATACATCATTTTAAAGGCCATTTTTTTCTGAGTAAGGAGCCACAAGTTTCATCTCAAAAGGACCACCCTAGCGAAAATGGCGACTGTTTGAAATTTAAAAATTCTGGTACCTATAAGTGGTTTTTTAAATTTCAAACAGTCGCCATTTTTGTTAGGGTGGTCCTTTTGAGATGAAACTTGTGGCTCCTTACTCAGAAAAAAATGGCCTTTAAAACGATGTATCATTTACCATAAGCTTCCATTAAAACTTTTTACTGCATCCTCCACAGGACGTTCCCTATAAGTGGTTTTTTAAATTTCAAACAGTCGCCATTTTTGCTAGGGTGGTCCTTTTGAGATGAAACTTGTGGCTCCTTACTCAGAAAAAAATTGCCTTTAAAATGATGTATCATTTACCATAGGCTTCCATTAAAACTTTTTACTGCATCCTCCACAGGACGTTCCCTATAAGTGGTAAAAATTGTCATAAGGCACCAAAAGATAGGTAAAACCATAATATATCCGTACACAAAATATCAGTTGTTTTTCTTTAACCACTCACGAGATATAATGTTGGTTCCAGACATTTTCAACACCCTGTATAATACCCGCCTAAAAATCGATTCCCGGTTCAATATTGATAAAAACTCATAAACTTTTCATTTAAAAGTGGACCAATCTGTCTTCAAAAATGTTTTCATTAAATTGTCTTAACCAAAGAAAATGCTAAGTTAATCTTAGTCAGTAAAAAATGCTACACAAGTTTTTTCGTTACATTCTGCACTCTTTCGTTCACTTCGGTTAAAATACGCCTTAGATACCCCGCCACACTATACTACAATAGTAATTGATAAGGGATAAAACGACAAAATAATCCATCTATGTCGAAAAATATACACGCAGACAAAGTGTTGGTGGCGAGGCGCCTTCAAACAGTGTAACGCAATATAGAGGCTAGCGTGCGTTGTTGTGTCTTCACTGCAGCACACGGATCAGATAATGTTCATTTTACTGTGATGTACGTTTGGGTTGTGCCTTAATAACATAAACAAATTATACAATTTAAATACTGTACAGTATATGGTCTTAAATAGATTCTTTCTCATTAGCTTTTTTATTTTTTAACCAAATTCTTATATTTCAGTAATGTAGAGTCATAAACTTCATTATGAATTCGTCATTGAATTGTTTCATGCCGATTGTATATAATTTACGGAACTTTACAGTTAACTATTTTTTTTTTGTGTTAAAATTTCTGGAGTTATATTTAATCCAACTTGATTTGAAGCTATTAATAATTAATATACAGTTTTAATAAATTGAACTCTTATGAAATTAGAATACTTATTTTAACTTAACCGTTTCTGATTATTATTAACATTGGTTTCAATATATTTTTCCTAAATTTAACTATCATAATTTTGAAATGTTTGCCATGAAAAGGCGTTTAAGACAAACAAGATTGTGTAATAGTGTTGACTATATATAGTCAATGGTAATAGCAGCTGGCTTGATGAGGCGAGCGCAGGAATATTTGGTATTCGGAACTGTAAATGACATCTGCTGGGAACACAGGAAATGAAATCTTACGTCCATCATGGTGGACTAGGATCGGCGGAACTGTGAACGCAACACTACTTACGCAAATACAGCATTACTGTAACTGGAGATTGCTGTAATACTGTACTTGATGTCATGGCCAATACTGCAAATTTATCAAATTTTAATTTTAAAAATTTCTTTGAACCACGTTTGAACAATACTTTCGCCAATACTTTTTTATTTTAAAAGATACACATATTAATTTTTTAAAGTGACTTTTTCTAACACATTATCATCATTCAGTAATTTAAACCTAATTTACTCGAATGAAATCATTTATTCTATCCAATATTACATCTGAGTATACAACTGTTAAACCATTAGTTGTTATAGTATAAACCTAACAAATTAGTATTTGAATCTAAAATAATTTCCTTCTGAAAGTAAACAAACATCAATAAATGAGCCTTAATTAACTTTTGTAAATATTTGTGTAATTTATAGTAATTTTCATATTAAAATTTTTGCCGTGTACACGTTGAGAAGCGGTGACGTAATAATCATTAAGGTAGAGAATAAACTTCAAAATAAGGCTAATGAATGCTTCATTAGTTGCAAAGAGAACAGTTAGGAGGAGGGCTTCAGTTTAAACGAGGGCAATTAGACGACCCACACATACGTGGTTGAAACGTCAACTATCCGAACACACAATATCTGACGTCAACTATCCGAACACACAATATCTGACGTCAACTATCCGAACACACAATATCCGACGTCAACTATCCGAACACACAATATCCGAGAGTGGCTAGGAAGTCAACTATCCGAACACACAATATCCGAGAGTGGCTAGGAAGTCAACTATCCGAACAAACAATATCCGAGAGTGGCTAGGACGTCAACTATCCGAACACACAATATCCGAGAGTGGCTAGGACGCGAACGGGGGTAGGTTAGTTCCGCTTTGCTACCTACACTAATCCGGGTCCCGTAGGGTGGGTTATAGTCCGGTAGGTTAGTTCCGCATTTGACGGCTTAAACAATAGATATCTTGAAATTCTAAAGAACAGTGAAGCCAGTCAACCGAAATAATCCATAAAAATAAGCAAGTTCTGAATGAGTTAAAGTTAAAGTAGGATGTTTCAGTTGTAGCGATGTCTCTAGTTTTGTACCAAAGCTGATGCAGATGATTATTTCACCGATCCCAGCCATTCAAATCATTATCAACTCGGTATGTACCATTAAACTGTGTATTGCCAGCAACCTGTCCTGTGAAGCCGCAATCTTAAAACTAAAAATCACACTACACCAGCTGTTGCTTAAATACGTATATGTTACAAAATGCTAATAACTCAGGGGCCTGTTTCATAAAATGATATACCGTAAGCTTGTAATATAAGTATTTACCTGATAATATTAAATTATAATACTGGTATTGTGTTTCATATAAATATAAGCTTGTAAAACAAGTTATAAGTTTACCACATCAAAATACCAGTTATAATAGTGTTTACACAAATCTTGTTTCAAAAACAATAAAAACTTATATTATAACCCAAAAGTTTTGAGTAATATACTGTATTATAAGCCTTTTTTGATCCATAGAATTTTTACTTGTGACGTGTATCTTCTAGTAAGATGTAGTAAAGAAAAATATATTAATAATTTTATCAAAATAGAGATGCAATCAAGCGTATCAAGTGATGAAATAGACATAGTGATGGTTAGAAGACCAAGAACATTTATACAAAGGATTTCTTACTTTCAAATTCAATAAACTTACGAGTTTCATGAAAGGTATAGGATAAGTTTTGAATTATATTCATTAATCTATCATTTCAGCCTCTGGATTGCTTATATAATCAAATAAATAGTAAAGTCTTACCTTAACAATCCTTATTATTGTGGTCCGATATTAATTTCAAACCCGTAGGTTCATCATCAGTCGGAAGATTTAGGTAGACCAAATTTTGTTATAAAATCCACCCGATGGGTTTCGTAGAAAAGTTGACATTTAACACGAAGACACACATTACAGTTGACATAAATAATACTCGTAGTTTAGGGATAAAAACCATGGTTTTATAAAACAGTGGGATAACCTCACTTCAGTCAGGGAACACGCTGCCGGCAGAACTGTCAAACAGTTCTGTTCCCTGACTGAAGTGAGGTTATCCCACTGTTTTATAAAACCATGGTTTTTATCCCTAAACTACGAGTATTATTTATGTCAACTGTAATGTGTGTCTTCGTGTTAAATGTCAACTTTTCTACGAAACCCATCGGGTGGATTTTATAACAAAATTTGGTCTACCTAAATCTTCCGACTGATGATGAACCTACGGGTTTGAAATTAATATCGGACCACAATAATAAGG